CCTGAGATGCTGCTCATAATGGCTGGGGCACTGGGAGTTGGTTGGTGCTGAGAAGATGCATTTGTAGTTTCAACTGATTTATTTCCACATGAAAATTATACCTTTGAGCTCAGTGAGCCATAGGTTTCTAGAAAGAGCAGTGTTCTTTCTCCCCTTTGTGAAATGAATCTTTAAGCTGTGGCTCCATGGTAATGAGAGGAAGATTAGCAAGTTGCTGATCAGCTGGCCCCCCATCCCCAGATTGTTCATGGGAGTTGCTAGAAAAAATAAAGTGGTGTTTTTTGTTTGTGTGTTGGTTTTCTCCTGTCACTGATCCATGATACTTCTAGGTGCTGGTGTAGAGGAATAGCCACACCCAGGTCTTCTGTCCTCCCAGGAAGCCTGGATAATCAGAAGGGAGCAGAGCCGCTGTGTGGACCAAGCAGGACAGGCTCACTAGTGACCAGGTGGCTTAGGTGAAAGATTGGAACAGAGCTGAGCTGCTTGATTCATTGGCTAGGAGCAGATAAGGTCAGAGTTGAGGTACCAGGTACCCCAGAATTTGTAATTCTCAAGGAAAATTGATGTTTTCTATTAATGAATTGTTTCGTGTATTTCAGTGGCATCCGAGGAGATACCACATATTCTGCACAGGAAGGAGGGGTTATTAATGTTTTCTAAATAAGATCACTTCTTCCAGTGCATACTGAATAGTGAGTACTAAGTTGCACCTGTAGGTAGCTCCGGGAGCCAAGATGGAGGTGATGTTCTCCATGTCTTCAAGGAATGTGTTTCCGAGTGTTGGGGTCGATCCACGTGTGAACAAGTACAGCAGCGTGTGGCCCTTCCTTCACAGTAGGAGTACTGCCACCTCGGTAGTAGAATTCCCTTGGGAACTTCCCCTCGCAGTGGATGTGTAGTGGATGGTCCCAGTCTGGGTGGGGTCCTTTGAGCACGAGGCAGGCGTGGGTCACTGTGCTGTGAACACCTCCTTGACAGCACATAACCCGGCTGGGGCCTCCTGCACGGGAGGCGCTGGGCTGCATCCTGGGATACACCGTGCTGGTGGACCTGGAGTCTGCCCTTCCCGAGGTGGAACACAGGAGGGGAGGCAGCCACACTACTCACTGTGGTGTGTGTCGGGCTGGTGGAGACGGGAGGGGCTGTGGCAGCAGAGAGCGCTGGGGGCAGGGGCGTGGCAGAGTAGCTGTGCAGGGCTGAGGGGACATGCCTAAATGGAGAAAGTGACATTTAACGTGAGCCTCAAAGAACACTGAAGACTTTTCAAAGGGATGCTCATAGGAGTCACAGGGACCATGAGGAAAATGGTGAATGTGGCCAGAGATTTGGAAGCATAGTGTTGCTAAAGGTGGGCCTGAAAGTCACGTGGGGACCCTCTTGTGAGGGGGTTGGATGCTGTTCAGAGGGAGTAAAGAAACAGGTGTTTGAGCAGGGCAGTGACATAATGACTGTTTTAGAAAGGACCAGTTTGGAGATGTTTATAAAATCCCAAATATGGAATAATGAGGCTTGGAAGAAGCACAGAGGGAAGAACAAGAAACTGCAAAAAATAAAGTGCAGTCAGGAGCAAGAGATTGGAGACACTGAAGACAGCTAAGGATTTGTCAAGGGCAGCGAGGTAGGAGAGAGGTAGGTCAGAAAGGGGTAAGCACGTTGTAGACAATAAAATCAAAGACCCCGCCTTTGAGGCCTTCAATGTGAAAATGACTAACAAGTGGCTGGAGGTGTCGATCTTAGGATGGGGAGAAGCCAGGTGTTTGAATTATCTAGAGATGTAATTAAGCACATCAGAGTCCTAGGACTGAGTAGATCACTGGGGAAGGTGAAGAGTGAGAGGGAGAGGAAGCTGATCGTATGACCTTGAGGACACTGTGACTAGGGCAACATGAGGACGTGGTAGATCATTTACGAATTAGGATGCAGCATAGATGTCTGTGTGGTGCAGCAGTTAAGTCCCTGCTTAGGATGCCTGGATCCCTTATCAGAGTGCCTGGTTCAAGTCCTTGCTACTCCAGTTCCAATTCAGCTGCCTGCTGAAGTACTTGAGAGGCAGCAGGTGGTAGCTAAAGTGCTTGGATCCTGGCCACCCATGGGAGAGACTTGGTTGGACTTCTAAGCTCATAGTTTTGACCTGGCCCAGTCCTGGTTGTTGGAGGCATTTGGGGAGTAAACCAGCTGGAAGATCTACCTATCTTCTGTCTCTACCTTTCAAATAAAAAGTGAAAATAAATAAATAAAGTTTAAAAAAGAATGAGGATACAGTTGTCATAAATTTTAGCTCACATTGGAATCAAGTCATGAATTGCTGGACTGTATCCCAGAGTTTCTAATTCAGAGACTTTGCAGTTCTAACAAGTTCCCACTGCTAGTCCAGAACTCACACTTTGAGAACGTTGTCTTGGATCCAGTTGGGGGGTGATCTTAGTTGCAAGTTAGAGAGGAAGGACAGGAGAATCAGGAAGGGACAGGTAGACTGTGAGAGTACATGTAGGAGCTCCAGGGAATGAGCCTCCAGGTGAGGACAGAGCAGGTTCTGTGGGTGAGGACTTGGGACGAGTGGAGAGTTGTATTCAGAGAGCAGCCTTCCGCGTGGTGGAGCTCCCAGGTCTCTACCGTGACCCACAGCAGTCCAGTTCCAAAATACTCTTCTACAGGAGATGAGACGGAGCCTAATGCAACCCAGTGTGCTGCTTCCTTCCTTGAGGAAGGTCTCATGGTCCCCCTCTCTTACCAAGTCATCTGGACAAAGCTGTGCCTAGTCATGGAGTTGATGTGCATTCTGGCACAGCTCCTTCCCTTTGCATGGACAGAATAAGCAGTTCATGGGTTGACACTGTTCACAGGCCAGAGTGGATACCCAGGCCACCGTTGGAGTGGTCCTGGTGTGAAGTGTAGAGTTGGAGCTCCCTGAAGATGCAGGATGGTGGGGAAGTGAGTCCAGGGTGTTGTTTGAATTAGGGGAGTTCTGCAGAAACACAAGGAAGGGAAACTCCTGAAGACTGGTAGATGACCACAGGGCGAGGACGAGGAGAAGGCACTAGAGCCGTGTGGCCTGTGGCTTCCAGCTACGCTGAGGAGCAGGCGAGTAAGATAATTGACCGTCCAAGCCCTTCGCTGGGGTTTGTGAGAATAGACAGTGCCCACCTAACAGACATCAGTGACCGCCTCACTGGTTTTGTTTCCATTATCTTTTTAGACAAATTATGTTGTGGTTATTTTTTCAGTAACAAAATTTCTCTCAGTTGACTGGTATAATGAAGAAATACAGTGATGGGGGAGACATCCTTAGGAGGGCAGGAGAGGCCTAGGTGAGACACTCTATAAACTGAAGATGCAGGTTAAAGGACACAGGAGATAAGCCATTGTTAGGGTAACATTTCTTAGAAGAGGCAAGTATTAAACCAGCTAAAATATTCTTGCTGTAATTGTTTTCACAAGCCAGAACTCAGTTTATGTTTAAGATTTCCCATAAGTATATAATAAGTCCTACCTAGTGACAATTTCCTGAGTAACCAGTGATTATTCATTTTACAGGGGTGTGCATTGTGGAGCAGTGGGTTAAGCTGCTACTTAGGATGCGCGAATACCATATTGGAGTGCCAGTTCGAGTCCTGGCTACTCCACTTCTAATCCAGCTTTCTGCTAATGAATCCTGGGAGGGAGCAGATGATGTCTCAAGTGCTTGGACCCCTGCACTCACACGTGAGACCCAGATGGAGTTCCTGGTTCCTGGCTTCTGCCTGACTTAGCTCTGTTTTGGGAAGTTGGGATATAAAGCAGCAATTGGATGATATCCACCTCTCCCCAACTCTTCCTTTTAGAAAGATGAACTTTTTAAAAAAAATTTCCATAGGAAAACAAAATAATTAGTGCAGATAATTTTCCTCTCATGTTTAATATTCAGTGACACGGCCACAGTCACAGACTGATGGGCTGTTGAATCAAAGTCTTAGCTGTAGGAATGGGCAGTAGAGAAAAGAAGCCGAAGGTTGTGGTTGAGGACATGGGCTCCGAGCAAGCCTGGGTCTGTGGGATGGTTGTCCTGCTGACACACTGCGCCTCTGGCCAATTTATATGTATGGTGGCCGTGTAATATATAAGTGTTTCCTCATCTTTAAAACAAGGTAACAGTGTTAGGAGGATTAAATCAACATTCTTACAGTTCTGAGTCCTGGAATTATATCTATAATTTTTGTAACTATTATAGTCCTGTGTCACTTAGCAACTGAAGACACATTCATCTTCATGAGACATCACACAAACTAAGATGGCTGCAGCGACACTGGGTGATACAGTCTTACGGGAACACCTTGTATATGCAGTCCGTCGTTGACCAAAACCTCAAATGTGGCACATGACTTTTTTTTTTCTTTTTTTTTAGGATTCATTTATTTGAAAGGCAGAGTTACAGAGAGGGAGAGAAAGGGAGGCAGATCGGTGTTCTATCTGGTGGTTCACTCTTCAGATGATCTCATTATCTGGAGCTGGGTCAGACAGAAGCCAGGAGCTTAGAACTCCATGCAGTTCTCTGGAGTAGATGGTAGGGGTCCAAGTACGTGGGCCGTCTTCCATTGCTTTCCCAGCACGTTATCAAGGAGCTGGGTGGGAAGTGGAGCAACTGGGACTTGAACCCGTACCCGTATGGGATGCTAGCATTGCAGATGGTGGCTTAGTCTTCTGTACCACGATGCTGGTCCCAATAACTGTATTCTCATTAGCTTCGTTGTTATTAAGGGAAAACATAGACTTTGGATTCACAAAAAATCTGCATTTGCATCTCCTTTTAATTAGTTCAAGAAGTTATTTGACCTTGAGAAAAACCTTGTAATGTATGTGAGACTTCCATTCGTTCCTGGAAATAGTGCCAGCCACCTTCCTGGGTTAGTGTGAGGATTCAGTGGTCTTTGTGAGTGATGTGTACGAGGTCATGTGATGGATTTGGCTGGCAAATGTCTGCCTTTCTTTCCTGCCCTTGATTTGTAACTTTCCTCCTTTTCTAGTCAGGCCTCGAGAAGAGGATCGACCAGGCTGTGGAGGAGTGGGATGTTGAGAAGGCCGAGGAGCTCAGCAACCAGCTGGCTACGCGTGAGGTGAGTCAGGCCGAGATGCCTTTGTCTGTGCTCCCGAGTTGTCCGAGATGCATGCGGGTTCTTTTGTTACCGTTAGTAAGTTCACTGCTAAGTGTGTGACCTGAGGCATTTCTTCTTGTTCATTTTCTTCCCTCGTGTTCTGCATTTATTTTTTTAATTTTTTTTTAGATTTATTTTTTTGAAAGGCACAGTTACAGAGAGGCAGAGGCAGAGAGAGAGACAGAGAGATTTTCCATCTGTTGGTTCACGCCCCAAATGGCTGTCATGGCTTGAGTTGGGCTGATCTGAAGCCAGGAGCTTCTTCCGGGCCCCTCCCTGGGTGCAGGAGCCCAAGCCCTTGGTCATCTTCTGCTTTCCCAGGCCGTAGCAGAGAGATGGATCGGAAGGGTGGCAGCTGGGCCTCGAACTGGCATCCATATGGGATGGCGGTACTGCAGGCGGCGGCTTTACCTGCTATGCCACAGCGCTGACTCACGCCACGTATTTTTTAAATTCAAGGTTTCATTATTGTCTTCAGTGTCTTTAAATTATTCTGGTCTAAAACTTACGCTGGGGATAACCCTTAGATTTTCCCTAGATCTAAAGTTGTTCAGGTCTGACTAAATGGCAGTTTTCTTTTTCACTTTGCATCTCTAACTCAGCCTGGAGCAGCTTTATGCTCTGAGGTCACATCCCTCACCTTTCCTTGACTCTTGCCAAGATGCTTTTTTTACTGCACACTCTGCACATCCTCCTGTCTTCCAGGCAATTTTCAGGCTTTCCTTCCTTTGATAAAACCTGGTAGATACATTGAATATTCTTTTTCCAACTACAGAAGGCCCTAGAAGACTCTCAGGTCCCTGACCTCCCCAGCTGAGAATGTGCCAGTGTGAAGCGCTCACATTGCTACATGTGTGCTGTTGTCAATGTTCTGTGATCCCTTTCGGTCCTTTCTAGGAAAAAATCTCCAGACCATGGCATCTGCTTCTCAGGCCTGGATCCTTCTCTGCTTTGCCTCATTCTTAAGCCGCAGTTAGTGCTTCCTGTGTTACTTGTGTAAGCTGCTGCTCAGCGTTCTTACTTGCAGGTGAACTTTTTCCAAACTAAACTGGAAATGAACTTGCTGTTTCATAGACTCGTCTGTAGACGTACTGTTGTGCTCTTTCATCACCAGATGTCACAAAATCTGTGACTTGCATCTCTTCCTCCTCTATTTTTGCCTGCAGAACTTCAGTGTCTTGTGACTTTTATATTTTTATATAGGGAAAAAACATGTTCAGAAGAGGGACTTAGGGGTTCTGAAATTATCTTTTTTCTGAAGCCTTTTAAAATCAATTGTGCCACTAAGTACTTCTGTGTATAATATGTGAGTGTATGTGTGTGTGTATTGATGGCTAATATAAAGAATACCATAGTCTTGGATGTTAGCTAGGGCGTAGGCAAGAAGTAGCATAAATGGCAGTTATATGACCTTTCAAAAAATAAAATAGCTTTATTTTTTAGTATACTACATTTAACATAGGATTTATGGTTTCAGCCGCTTTCACGCGATTCCCCAGTGCTAATGAGCACATTTGTGTTGTTGGGCAGCCACCAGCATCGTCCATCTTCAGAGCTCTGTTCGTCTTGCAGGACTGAAACTCTATGCCCATCAGACAGTAGCTCCCTCTTTTCCCCTTCACAACCACCTGTGTCCCTGTGAATCTGACTTCTGTAGGTCCCTCTTAAGTGGATCCTGTAATATTTGTCATTTATTGTCTGATGTGTTTCACTTAGTGTAAGGTTTTCGGGATTCATAGGTGTTGAATGAATCAGAACTGTCTGCCTAAAACTGAATAATACTCCATTGCATGCATGTGCTAGATTCTCGTATTGTTACATTTTGTGTATATTTCGGTCTATAGGTGGACACTTTTGAGTTGCTTCCACCTTTTGCCTGTGGTGAACAATGCTGGGACAGACATGGGTATTCACACCGTCCTCTGCATCCTTGGTTTCACTTCTTGTGAGTCTGTACGAGAAGTGGAATTGCCGCACTTTGCTTGCGTTTTCTTATAAGATACCGTTCTCCCCTTCCCATCTTATGGTACTTCTATGTTTACAGCGTGACACTATTTTGTCTCCAAAGTAACTATATTTTGATTCACTGAGTAAAGCTTTTATTATAGATAATGGTATTTTATTGCTCTTATTTTCGAACAGAAAGATACTGGTATTACATGTTTATAAAATGAATTTGAAAGTGTTGAATGGTGCCTCAGACTTGGGTTTCACTGTAAGTCGTTTCGCTGGCTTCTTCAGTGTGAAAGGTGCATATCCATAGGTGGGGAGCTGTGCCAAAGGTCACTTCTAGAATTCTCTTCAGCGAATGTAGCATCTGTGGCTTGTTAATAAGTAACTGGCACTTAGAACTTACATGTTCATCAAAGCGCTGTAGAAATAGTGGTTTAATTTCTTGGCTAGCTTGAAAGGATGGAAGGCAGTGCTTGCCTGTCGCCTCTCGTGGCTCTAACGACAGTCCAGTGAGATGTTGTGTTGGGGTGGGGCTTGGTTTGAGATCTGAGGGCTTTCAGAGCCTGGAAAGCAGGCAGGGCAGCAGGCCCCTGTCACTGGTGTGGATCTCGCTGGAGTGGGGGCTGCAGAAGCGGGGGCTGCCTGGTCTGAATGCCTACCTCACTTGGATCAGGTTCAAACCTTTCTAGACAGCTGGTGCTTAATGCCTCCCTGGTGGTGAGGTAGTGCCATGTGTTGAACAGGTATCTCCTGAACCCCTTTAGGATTCCAGGACCATGTTACTGGCTGCGGTGGCAGACAGTGTACTGAGTAGCTCTGGAGAAGGCTGGCACGTAAGAAGTACCAGCAGGACTGTGGACTGTGGCTCCCTGTTGATTTTAGGGTTGCTGTGGGCTTCTGTCTTTCCACTGGTCTCTGTGCTTGTCCAGTGTTCCTTTGGGAAGCCTTGATAGTTACGTATGTTCTGATCTCTTCTAAATACAAGAGTGGCTGTGAGCAGCGGAGCCCCGGGTCAGCGAGTCTCTGGCTCGGCCTTGCTCAGGAGGAGAGCGTACTGCAAGCCTGGTCGTCGGCACTGAAGTGAGGGCTCTGCGTGCCCACTGCCGGCCGCGCATTGCACTTTTAATTTTGGTATTTATTTGGGAAGCTGACAGAACTCCTGGCCACTGGGTCACTCCTCATAATGGGGGGGGGGGGGGGGCTGGAGCCAGAAACCGGGAACTCAGTGCAGGTGGGTGGCAGGAACCATCACCACTGTCGTGGAGGATCTGTACTGGGGGAAGCCGGAGTCAGCATTCGGAGCTGGGACCGTGTGGGACTCAAGCATGTTAACTGTTAGGCTACACACCAGCTCTGATTCTGTGATTTGAACACATTTTACTGTTAAAAAATAAATAAGGTACTTTTATTTTGAATTTATTTCAGACTTTCAGAAAGTTGCGAAATTTGAGAGTTTCCTATTTACCCTTCATCCAGGTACCTGAAGTGTCAGTATTTTACAACATCTGCTTTCATTGTTTCTAATCTATGCACTTTTATTTAAATTTTCTAATTATACCACTAATTTCCCTTATAACAAAAAAAAATTTTGTTTTCCCACTGTATTTTGTTGCCAGGTTTCTTTGGTCTTTATTCCTCAGTCTATGTTTCTCATGACCTTAACTTTTTTGAAGGATAGATAGAGGTCAGTTATTTTTTAGCATGGCTCTCAAGTTTGGCTTATCTGATTTTTCTTCATAATTAATTTCAGCTATGCTTTTTTGTCAGAAGAAATCATAAAAGTGATGGTGTATCTTCAGGGCAGGCTACCCTGGGCCGTGAGCTATCTGTTCGCTCCATTTATTGATGGGTTACTTTGAGCATTTGATTAAATTAGTGTTTCTGTTTCTCTATTGTGATGTTACTGTTTTCCCCTTTGTAACAGATGAGTATCTTAGGGGACATGGGGAGTAATGTGAGACCCTATAAACATTCTGTCTCTCATACTTTCAGATTGCTAGTGTTAGCATCCACTGCTTATATTTTTTTTTCTGATTTTGCTTGAGACAGTTAATATTATGGCGATTATGAAATGACTTTAGATTTTTAGCAAGTGTTTTTTTTTTTTCTTTTGAAGTTTATTGTTTATTTGCAAGGCAGAGATACAGAGAGAAGGGGGAGAAAGAGAGAGAGAGATCGATTGATGTTCCATCCACTGATTTTACTCCCCAGTGACAGCAACAGTCAGGGCAGGGCCAGGCTGAAGCCAGGAGCCAGGAGCTTCTTCCGGTCATCCACGTGGGTGTGGGGTCCAAGAACTTGGGCCATCTTCCACTGCTTTCCCGGGTGCATTAGCAGGGAGCTGGGTTGGAAGTGGAGCAACTAGGACTCGAAACAGTGCCATATATTTGGGATACCAACACTGCAGGTGGAGCCTTAACCATCTATGCACAGCACTGGCCCCTAGAAAGTGATCTGATTATATTCTGTCTTCACCTGGCAATCCAAATCTAAAATTTGGCTTCAGTGAGATTTGGATTATAGAATCTTTTCTGTATTTTAAATCTTTGGTAAAACTGGACAATTGAATATAGTTTTCCTAAACAATGCACCTGGCTGGGATGGGGTCACTGACATTTAACCCACCCAAGGTTTTCAGCACTGGTAAGGAGAGTAGATATTTTTCTCAAGTATTCTTTTTATTTCCAGACAAATGCTTTGTCCTCATAAAATACATTTATTTAGTGTGGGATTATAGAATTCTGATTGAAAGAAAGAAGTTCAGATCCTGTTTTCTTCTGTGTGTAAGTGGGAAAACATCTAGATATTTGCTGTGTCGACACAAACAATGGGAAACTAATTGATGCCACCACTAGTTAAGGACTAGTAAAGAGGAACCAGTCAAGATGGAACTCTGGAATGGATGGTTGAGTTTGTGAAATTTCATTTTTTGTATTTCCCCCAAGTGCCAATCACCACAGATGTGAGAGATGGGATTTTGAGAGGCTGTGTGAGTTTGGGCCAGAAGC